GTGGACGACGTTCTCGTACGTGCGAAAGAATGACATGAAGGAAATTGGATTTTCAGATTCGATGTTGTTGAAGTGGGTCATGTCGAGGTTCGTTGGCTCAAAATGTTGGGGCTTGGACAAGGTAGGGATCAGGGTAAATCTTAATGGACATCGACGGCATGTGACGGCACGCTTCGCAGTTTTTCTTGCAGATTTTGAGGCACATGTGAATTCGTTCAGTTTCAAGGGCGCGGCTGGTAGCGTGCCTTGCCCGAAATGTCGGAACGTCGTTGGCAGGTGCGAGTATTTCGACGACGACCCTGACGTCCTTCATATTTGGAGTTCTTCGTGCGAGAAGATGCAGCTGAGAACGCATGAGGAGCTAAAAACGATCATCGATCATCTGTCGGACCTGTCGGCGAGAGGGGATATGAGGCAGCTCAAGCTCGACCAGCAACACCTGGGGGTTAAGTACGACACCGCCTCAATACTGTGGGACGAAGAGTTGTTCGAGATTGCAAGGCCTCCCGAGTGTATCTACCTGGATTGGATGCACTGCCTTGCCGCATCAGGCGGCATCGGGCAGTTCGTGCTGAATCGTACCCTCAGAGCGCTGGCCAACTACAGCCAAGAGTTTGACCTGGAGCTCATCGACCTGTGGGCGGAAAATGTGAAGCTCCCTCGGGGCCACCAGCAGCTGCCCAAGAAGTTCTTCAGCCAGCGGTACGTGCCTGGAGCTAATAAGCACATCAGGGCATTCGCTTCGGAAGTCCTCTCTGCTACTGTGGTGCTGGCGATGTTCATGGATGAGTTTGTCGGTCACTATCACGCTGAGTTGGGCGAGCACCTGCTCGTCTTGAAAATGCTCGTCGGGATATTCGAGACTTTGGGGCGCGGCGATCCAGCGGAGGCGGGGGCAACACTTGAGGCATACAAAGAGTTTGCAAAGCTCTATGCACGGCTGTGCCCCGAATGTCGGAGGCCAGAACTTCATTTCACAGTGCGCGTGTTTCAAGCGTGGATTGCCTTTGGAATTTTGTTGTCGTGCTTCTCAACCGAGCGCAACCATAGAACTTTTAAGAAGACTATGTCGTTTGCGTACAGAGAGGCGTGTTCGACTGCCCTGGCCACAGAGCTTCGCCGAATGGTGAATAGCTATTCTAAACGCTTCGCGTATCCCCACCAGCCCATCCAGAAACGATGTCCAGGCGAGCTGAGGTGATCAAGGGAGTGCGGCAACAAAGAGGAGGATGGCCGAACCGTGCAAAGTAGTGAGGAGGGGAAGGAGGTGGATGGATGGATGGATGGATGGATGGATGGATGGATGGATGGATGGATGGATGGATGGATGGATGAGGGAGTGGGAAGAAGGAGGATGAATAGGATGAGGAGGCGGAGGAGGAGGAGGAGGAGGAGGAGGAGGAGGATGACGAGAAGGAGTAGGAGCAGGAAGGAGGATCAGGAGGAGGAGGAGGAGGGCAAGCACAAGGGCCAGATGTCTCTTGGATGCCTCTCGGAGCCTCTTGGGGTATCTCTCGGGCGATTATTGGTGGCCTCTTGGGGCGTCTTGGGGGTCTCTTGGCGATCCTGGGGGTTCTTCGGGGTCTTGGGTGCCTCGGGGGGGGGCTCTTGGGGCCGTCTGGGGTCTTCTCGGGGGCCTCCTGGAGGCCTCTTGGGGGTCTCGTGGGGCCATCTTGGGGCCATCTTGGGACCTCTTGGGGCCTCCTGGGCGCTTCTTCGGGCTATCTTGGAGGAGATCGGTCAACGAAGGGGGGTGTCCTCAATTAGCCCCCCCCCCGCTAGGAGGTCAAAATGGGGCCAAACCCCAAGTAAAATCAATGATTGTGGCTTCCTCGCCGACGCCATTTTTGGACGTTCCAACGCGTCGCCGCGCCCCCCGCCCAGGTCCAGGGGAGGGGGTAGGGGGAGGGATAAACCCTTCCCCGAAGGGGAAGAATGAGGGGTGGAGAAGTAATCTCTCAACCACCTACGCCCAGAGGGCTGGTGGGATTCCCAGGGGAATGCGTTTCAGCACTGTTACCTTGTAGACCCAGTGCGCAGGACAAACAGACGGCTAGACCTGGGCGGTGGCGCCCGTGCAACTGTCACCCGCTGGTCTCTGGCCGTCACCACGTCCCGAGGCCGTTTTTTAACAATGATTTGCTGTGCTGGAGAAGTGGTGACAATTGGCACTGCGGGTTCGCTGTCGGTTACGTGCATGGCCATTTGGGCATAGTGCAAGGCTTTGGCGCCATTGTAAACGTGTGCGCTCCGATTGATGGTCTTGGGTCGTGGAAAAAGCACGGCGCGATGTCCTTGCTTCCAGTCGAGCGTATTCTGTGCGCCCTCGTGTACAAGATAAGCGACAGAGGCACGTTTGTGCCGCATTTCCCCTGTGCTGCCTGAGGGGCGTGTGTAAAACGAGTCCTGGTCCTGCTCTTGGGGTGCGCGCGGGCGCATCCGTTCGGCCCCAGCCCGCGGCCCGACAGGCGGGCGCGGGCGATCGCGACGGCGGCGAGGCAGCGTTCGCCGTCTCGCGTCTGGCACAGGCGACTGCGGCGCAGCGACTGGGGCCTGCTGGCCCCCCGTCCGCCGCCCACTATATTCCTTGATGCCTGACGGCCCGCCGCCTGACCCCCCCCCAAGTAGGAGCCCCAAAAACGCAACACAATACTTAACATATATTAGCAAAACATTAACATAAATTATGAAAAATTACAATAAATTGTGAATAAGTATAAATTTTTATAATTCAGTTACAGACTCCACCACAAAAAAATATAAAGCAGTTAACATGCGGCCCCGCGTAAAACGTTATAACTCTGTTATAAAACTCATAAAACGCAAAATGTACAAAGGGGGAAAGGGTCTGGATTTCGGGACGCCGTCCTGAAACAATCGATTGTCTGGGGCCGGCTCTCTCGGCGGCTTCCCAGCCTCGGGGTGCTCTCCAGGGGGAGGGCGGAGGTGCCACGACGCAAGGTTCTTTCATGGTTTTGGGGTCGGCTCGTCGGTTCTCCGCGGCTTCCATGCCTCGGGGTGCTCTCCACCAGCTGCGCGTACGGCGTTCCGGGGGTGCCCGGATCGTCCGGCACGGGCGCCGGAGAGGCGAGCGATGGCCGGAAAAGACCTGCTCGCGTCGAGCGCAGAAGCACGACGGAAGGTTTTTGGCCGCCTTCTGCCTCTGGGGGGCCCTCGCGGGGCCCCCGGGCCGGCCAGGAACGACTCGGGATGGAGAGCCGGCTTTGGGGAAAGGGTCGGGACTCGGGAGCCTCGAGGCGGGGGTCAGTGCAAACGGGGGTCAGCCAGAGCGCCCCGACCTTGCAGGATCCTGCAGGGCCAGGGTCGCATTGACCCGGGTTTGGGTGCAGGATCCTGCAGGATCCTGCAGGATCCTTCGCATTGACCCGGGTTTGGGTGCAGGATTTTGCAGGATCTTGCAGGACTCTGCAAGGCATGATTGACCCGGGTCTGGATTGACCCGGGTCAGCAGGTCCCCGAGGGACTTCCGGGGACCCCGTATGGGCAAACGTGACGTCGGACGTCTGGGTCCGACAGTGAAAAACATGCTCTGCTGTTTTTTTCCCGGAGAGGGCGTGGGCCCAGGCCTGCGAATTATTTTGTCAGAAGTACGAGGTCACGTAGGGCCGGCGAACTAACAAGTTGAGTATGTCCCGAGCGGAGGAGGAGGAGGTGGAGAGGGGCGGGGAGGGGAGGTGAGGAGAGAGGAGGAGGGAGGAATGTGGGGACGAGGGAGGAGGGAGCGGGGGTGGGCGGGATGATGATGATGATGCTGGTGCTGATGCTGATGCCGATGCTGCTGCTGCTGCTGCTGAGCTGATGATCATGCTGGTGCTGCTGCTGATGATGCTGATGATGGTGATTCTGATTGTGGTGCTGATTTTGATGATGATGGTGGTGATGATGATGGTTGTGATGGTGATGGTGCTGATGATAGACACGATGATGGTGGTGGTGATGATGATGCTGCTGATGATGAGGATGAAGGTGATGATGACACGGGGCTGGGGTGTAGGAGGGACGCGAGAGGACAAGGATACGGAGGAGGTGCAGACGATGACGTTGCAGTTGACGCCGGTGATGATGATGATGATGCCGATGATGATGCTGATGATGATGTTGACGATGACGCTGATGATGATGCTGATGATGTGGAAGGCGATGCTGAGGACGATGCTATTGATGATAATGTTGCTGCTGCTGATGCTGATTATGAGTATGAGTATGATTATACATATAATTAATATGCTGATGACGACGGCGACGATGCTGATGACGATGGTGATGATGTTGATGATGATGTTGGATGCTGCTGATGATGATATTGTTGATAATGCTGATGAGGATGACTATGATGATGATAATGCTGATGATGACGACGACGACGACGACGATGATGATGATGATGATGATGATGATGATGATGATGATGCTGATGATGCTTATGGTTGTGGTGGTGATGATGGCGATGGTGATGATGACGGTGATGGTGATCGTAATGGTGAGGGTGTTGGTGATGCTGATGATTTCGATGCTCCAGCCGATGATGATCAGGATATCGATGAAGATCTAATGTGTGATGGGGATGACGTTGAACATGCTGACGAGCAGGATAAGGATGGAGCAAGATAACCGTGCTATCGACTACAGGCCGAACACTGGCCCGACGTTCCGTTCAGATCGAAATGCTGCGGTCGGCGTTTCGGGGGGATGCGCCAATTTCGGCCAGATCTGGGGCTCCCCAAATGTATCCAGACCCTCGCGTTCCCCGCCGTCGCTCCTGCGAACAGCGCCGAGGTCAGGAGGTTGTGGCCTCGCGCAAATGTTCATTTGCCTTTCTCTCCTCCGTTCGGCATTCTCGTCGTCGCCGTCCCTCCTCTCCGCCGCGCCGCAGCCGTTCGCGGACGTCCGGCGTTTTTGATGCTCGTGTGGCTTGCTTTCCTCCCCTCGTCATCCTCCCCCTCCGTCCCTTGTCCCTCCCACTCTGGCCCACTGGGCAGGGCTGGTGAAGCAGCACAGCCGCACGAGGGCGGCGGCGAAGACCATCTCGGCGATCGACGAGTTCGAGGAGAGGCTGCGGAGGGCTCAGGAGCGCGGGGCCGGGGCAAAGGGGGCAGTCGAGGGAGGTGGTGCCGTGCAGAGAGGAGCCTTATGATGAGCAGAGCGAACAGCCGGATGATGATGACGATGATGAGGATGATGACGATGATGATGACGATGATGATGATGATGCTGCTGATGGTGATGATTATTATTATGATTATTATTATGATGGAGATGATGGTGATGATGCTGATGCTGATGATGATGGACGATGCTGATGATGATGATGATGACGATGGTGATGATGGTGGTGATACCGATGAGGATGATGATGAGGGTGAGGATGGTGATGAAGATTGGGACGCTGATGATGAGGATGATGATTACTACTACTACTACTACTACTACTACTACTACTACTACTACTACTAGTACTAGTACTACGGCTACTATTACTGCGATTATTATTACTACCGCTACCACTTCTACGAATGTAAGTACTACTACGATTGCTACTACTTCTACGACCACTACCACTACCACTACTACTACTACTACTACTACTACTACTACTACTACTACTACTATTAGTACTAGTACTAGTACTAGTACCAATACTACTACTACTACTACTACTACTACTACTACTACTACTACTACTACTACTACTATTGCTGCTACTACTAATGCTACTATCACAATTATCACGACGGCTGCGACAACCATAACTACTACTACTACTGCCACTTCTACGTCTTCTTCTTCTTCTTCTTCTCCTTCTATTTCTACGACTACCAATCATACTCGTAAGGGCAATGTTACGGATATAGAACAATAACATAACGTGATGATTACGGTGATGCTGCTGCTGATGCTGATGATGATGATGATGCTGATGATGCTGATGATGATGATGATGATGATGTTGAGCATTCTGATGATGCTGATGAGGATGACGATGATGCTGATGATGAAGCTGATGATTATGCTGATGCTGATCATGATTCCGATGACGATGAGAAAACTATGATGATGATGCTGATGCGGATGATACTGATGATGGTAATGATGATGACCGCTGATGGTGATGATGATGATGATGGGTTGGAAGACGATAATCGTACTTCCACTAAGGATAACAATCGTAAAACTCACATGGCCACGATGATCATGATGAGGATAAGGATGATGAGGAGGAGGAGGAGGGTGAGGAGGGGGAGGGGGAGTGGTAGGAGGAGCAGGACGAGGGGAACGACGTTCCTGAAGCTTGACATCTGCAACAGCTTCACCGATGGAGCACGCGCCGTTTTTCAATCTCGCATAGTCGTCTTGATGCAACACTTTCGCGGATGGAACACAGGTCGTCTTCCAAATGTGTTTCTCGCATCTGCGCCGCGCGCGTTTGTTTGAACAGTTTTTGCAAGAGGAGGAGGAAGAGGAGGAGGAGGAAGAGGAGGAGGAGGAGGAGGAGGAGGAGCCGACGGAGGCTCGTCGGCCCCCGGCTGGCAGGGGGGTAAGCTGGGATGGTGTGCGCGCGGGGCGGGCGGCCGCCCACTCGCCGCGGTGCGCGGAGCGAGAGCACGGCGCTCCAGGCGGCGACCACCACGACAGCGGCCCTGTGGTCAGCCATCCGGGCGGGACCGCCTCCCGAGCTGCGTGCGTGCGGTGCGGGAGGACCGGCTCCCGCGACGGGCTCCACCCTCTGGATGGGGTGCCGCCGTGCCGAGGAGGCGGCCCGCGGGCTCGCGCGCGGCACGACGTGGGCGGAATGCCCGCCGGCGGCCATCATCACCGAATTGCGCGCGGGTTTGGACAGTCGGGGCGGGGGTGGCGGTCGCCGCAGACTTGGCGCGGGAGGCGCACGCCGCGGCGGCGGCCCGTCTGGGCACGGCGTGGGCCGCGGCCGCTGGCGCCGCCCCGGCCGCAGCACCGCCACCGCCACCACCTGCGTCCCCGCCCGCCGCCCGCAGGGCGCCCCGACCAAGCCCCAGGCCGCTGGGTGCCGCTGGCAGGGCCGCCAACGCCCGCTCTCTGCGCCCCTGCCCCCTGCCCCCACTAGGGGGCCACATGCGAACCCGACCCCATACCCCCCACGATTTCTGAGGGGGAGGGTGGGGTTCACTTCGCTCGGCGGAGGACAACCGTTTGAAGACCTGGAAGCACGCCAGAACCTGATTCTCGGGACTTCCACGCCACGGATCAACCTGACTGTTGCGCCCTGACGATCTGGAATCGTACCAGGACGGCATTTTTGGGACTTCGACGCCGCGAACCAACATAACTGTTGCACCTTTCCAAAACATTTCTGGTACGTTGGTTTTGGGAGTCGGACGACGGGGGGTGAGATCGCAGCGGAACGGAGACCCCCAGCCGGGAAATCGTCTCGTTTCGTTCGTGTCGTGCGTGCTGGCGAGGCGAAGCTGCGTGGGCGCGTGAGAGGAACGAACCCGCCGTTGCTAGGGTGAAATTTGATTCTCCCCCGTCCGTCCGTCCGTCCGTCCGGCGGTGGCCCGCGGTGTCCCGCGGTGTCCCGTGGTGTCCCGTGGTGTGGCGTGGTGTCCGCCGTTGCTACGGCGAAGTCAAGACAAAGCATTCTCCCCCGTCCGTCCGTCCGTCCGGCGGTGTCCCGCGGTGTCCCGTGGTGTCCCATGGTGTCCGCCGCTACTAGGGCGAAGTCGAGACAAATGATTCTCCCCGTTCCCCCCGTCAGGCGGTGGCCCGCGGTGTCCCGCGGTGTCCCGTGGTGTCCCGTGGTGTCCCGTGGTGTCCCGCCGTTGCTAGGGCGAAGTCAAGACAAATGATTCTCCCCCGCCCGCCCGTCCGGCGGTGGCTCGCGGTGTCCCACGGTGTCCCGTGGTGCCCCGTGGTGTCCCGCCGATGCCAGGGCGAAGTCGAGACAAATGATTATCCCCCGCCCGCCCGTCTGTCCGTCCGGCGGTGGCTCGGGGTGTCCCGCGGTGTCCCGTGGTGTCCCGTGGTGTCCCGTTGAATGAGATCGATCATGAGATTTACAGGTGTCGCGTGGTGTCCCGTGGTGTCCCGTGGTGTCCCGTGGAGAGTGAGATCGATAGTGATCTCGCTCGTACTATCGATAGTGAGATCGATAATGAGATTGATGTGGTGTCCCCGGGTGTCCCGTGGTGTCCCGTTGAGAGCGGGATCGATCGTGATATCGATTGTGAAATCGATAGTGAGATCGATAATGAAATCGACAGGGGTCCCGTGGTGTCCCGTGGTGTCCTTTGGGAACGATATCGATAGTGATATCGATCGTGAGATCGACATTGGGATCGACAGGTGTCCCGTGGTGTCCCGTGGTGTCCCGTGGAGACTGATATCGATCGCGATATTGCTCGTAAGATCCATAGTGATATCGATAGTGAGATCGATCGTGATTTCACTAAAATCGACAGTGAGATCGATCGTGCGATCGATAGTGGGATCGGTAGCGAGATCGATTGAGTCAGACGTTTGCTCCCCCCACACAACCTCCTTATCACCCGAAGGGTGGTCGTATAGGCGTGGGTATATATGATATGCAAACTGTTTCACGAACGTATCCGACCACCCTTCGGGTGATAAGGGAATTCTGGGGGGGAGAGGGGGGGAACCAACATCTGACTCAAACGATCTCACTATCGATATCACTCAACGGGACACCACGGGACACCACGGGACACTTGTCGATCTCAAGATCGATCTCACTATCAATCTCCTTCAACGGGACACCACGGGACACCGCGGGACACTTCTCGATCTCACCATCAGTCTCACTATCGATCTCACGATCGATCCCATTCCACGGGACACCACGGGACACCACGGGACACCACATCGATCTCATGATCGATCTCACTATCGAGCTCATTCAACGGTACACCACGGAACACCACGGGCCACCACGGGACACCTATCGACCTCACTATTGGTATCACTACCGATCTTTTTTGGGAGGGCACCACGGGACACCACGGGACACCACGGGGCACCTCGGGGCACCACATCGATCTCAGTATCGATCTGATTATCGATCCACCGTGGGCCTGTTGGGTCTCCAGAAGCGCCATATTTTCTGCGCAAGCTAGATCCGAGCTCAACGCAGCGGCCGACGAGCACAGGCCCGAGGAACACACTGCCATGGCGAGGCATCTGAAACAGCGAAGCCCAGCACACTGAAAAGTATCGGTTGACAGGTGACAGGCAGGGATGGGGGGAAGGGAGAGACTTGAGCACCAGAGGCATCTGAACGGATGCCGCTCAACCGAACGACGGCGGGGACCCTCTCGCATACTCAGGATGCCCGTTCACAGAACTACTATCCACCGTGGGCCTGTTGGGTCTCCAGCGTCGCCATATTTTTTCTGCGCAGGCTAGATCCGAGCCCAACGCAGCGGCCGACGAGCACAGGCCCGAGGAACACACTGCCATGGCGAGGGATCCGAGGGATCTGAAACAGCGAAGCCCATCCATTACACGCGTAGTATGATCTGGCTCCGCCGCCACCACAAACATCTTTCAGGATGACAGCGCACTCCGCATTAGCTGCATTGGCTCGAGACTTGCATATTGTGCCGAAGTGAACGACACGGCGGCAGCATTTGTTGCAAAGGATGCTGGGTATGCGGCGGCCGCTGACGTCATCTTGGAGCCTTCCAGCACCACATGCGGCCTGCCAGTTCGCGAGCAGATCCCCTGGCGCCCAGAGCATATGCGTCGTGGGGCACTGAGATCTCCGACATGCCACGCCTGCAGCTGGGTGCGCTTCCGAAACGTGGCCCCGTATTGGCAGTAGTCCAGGATCACCTGCGAGCTGTGGCCGCTGCTCAAGGCGCGCGCGCGCGGGGCACGGACCACAGCATCGAGCCCGCAGGGTTCTCCATGCATGCTGCGATGGTCAAGATTGAGACTTCGGCGGCCAAGTTCCCAATCTGGATCCGAGATGCGTAAATCAGCAGGCCGCTCTCGAGTTTCGGGGTGCCCCCCAGAGGCACTCGGCAGCCCGCAGCGGGCCTCCGGGGCGGCTGGGCTGGCCGCGCCGCGCGGCGC